TGTGTCGGGGCGAAGACCAAAGTGAGAACTATTGGGGTTGATTCTGATCCTTTCCTTGTAAAGATGGGGTTGCACTAGGAGTCGGCCCTTAATCCCTTCTTATTTGTGCACTGATGGATGTTTTATCGCTTGGTTTCCAGGAAGAGGTCTCTTGGTGCATTATTTTTGCTTACAATGTATTGATCGGTGAGACTAGTTAGGTGTTGAATATTACAGCGGAAAAAAAATAATCTGAACTTATAAAATGTTCGGATTTTTACAACAAAAATAAAAGAAAAATAAACTTGGAGCCTTTGGATGGTTGAACGAATGCAAGAACACGAACAGACGGAGTGATGAACGTCAACGGAGTAGTTTCTGAAAGAAGGGTAGGAAAGCGGAGTCGCCGGAGCTTTCCTTAAGGTAGTAATGCCCACCTCCCACACTGGCAAACGTGGACAATCTCCTCCCAGGATAAAACCGCTTCGTGCAAGGCCTAGGGCGGTAGAACCGTGCACCGTCGAACGAGAAAGATGGAAGTTACTGCCGGAGTAGACGAACGGAGATGGGAATTTCGAGTGTTTTTTTGTTCTCCCTGCAACCAACCCTCCTTTTATAGGAGCGGAATTGGCTCCTCAACTGGACTGGACGGAGTTACCGAGGAGATTCAGGCCAACCCTTCATCTCCATGCATGCATTCCTTAATTTCGTACGTTTCGTTATTAATGAAGTGTACACGCGCGTGTTTTTGTTTTGATCTCGTAAAAAACTAGCCCCGCCACGCCGCAGACGCGGGCGCGACGCGCCCCGCGCGTGTCGTGCCGGTCAGACGGCGGCGGCGACGACGCGCGAGGAGTCCTCTTCTTATTCCTTTCATAAGCTCAATTCAATGCTTAAGCTTAAATATGGGAATACGAAAGGTTTAGAAACCGGTGTGGGACAAAGGCATTTTACTCTACCTTAGTATTCAACTTTGAGAATTAATTTCTCATTCACCCGAGCACCGTTTATGACGTGTCATATATCAAGACGTTCGTCTTACTTACGAGATTAATCGTCCATAATTATTTTGGAAAATAATTTTGTGGACCCTACCGAATTTATGTCCAAAAAATGTCCAATTTACTTTAAAATTTCCAACAATCCCCCACATGAATGAAAATTAATTCATGTAACGGGCAATAACTCCGAAGTTGAAACTTGGAAAAAGTAGGTATGTTTTTATGCCTTTGAACCTACTCCTTGTAAAGTATACCTTCTCTACTGGCTGTTTAGTAGAACGTGATGTCTTTGAACTGTACTACCGTTTATGTAAACGACGATATACAATACACAAGTTTCAACCAACCATCATTCCGTTCTCATGGGTGTGCCCATTATGGTCGTGGAACACGCATCTGGTTCTGCGAGAGTGTGAGACAGGATCAGCCCGAAATCCTTCTGTTGAAGCGACCGCACTTCACTCTTACATAGGTGATTCTTCTAAAAGTATCCCGATTACTCCACTTGGACCTCGTTGTCCACAGTTCAAGAATCATTAAAGCGTCATGCTATCCTCATCGTTTTCGGGAGTCACTATATCTTAGTAGGAACGGAGGGGTGTTAAGCCGGTGATCCGGCTTGCCCCCTCAGTGACCGTGTTTCGTACCACAAGTAGGTTGTCCCATTGAACCCAGGTACCCTTAGGTTGGGTTTTCCTTCATGCAACGTTCCCAGCACAGGGTAGGGCTTTCAGACCCATTCCTACTACTAACTTCTCATGTTGCTCATTAGTTAACCCTTTGGTTAATGGATCTGCTAAATTATCCTTTGACACTATATAGTCAATCGAGATAATACCCGTATTAAGAAGTTGCCTAATGGTTTTGTGTCTACGGCGAATGTGCCTGGGCTTACCATTATACAATTTGTTCCGAGCTCGTCCTATTGCTGACTGGTAGTCACAATAAATGCAAATAGGAGGAACTAGTTTTTCCCAGTTTGGAATATCCTCAAGTAAATTCTAAAGCCATTCGGCATGTTCTGCACACCTGTCTAGTGCTATGAACTCAGACTCCACGGTGGATCTGGCAATTAATGTTTGTTTTGAGGATTTCCAGGAAACAGCTGCACTGGCTAACATAAAGATAAATCCGCTTCTGGATTTTGAATCCTTATTGTCCGCAATCCAGTTGGCATCAGTGTACCCTTCCAGCACGGGTGGATACCTGCCATAGCATAGGCTATAATCTCGAGTATACCGAAGGTATCTCATTACTCGGACTATGGCCTTCCAGTGCTCAGCACTCGGTTTGCTCGTATACCTACTTAGTTTGCTAATGGAGCAAGCCAAATCTGGCTGTGTGCAGCTCATCAGATACATCAGACTTCCGATAACTCTAGAGTATTCTGTCTGAGAATCGCTACTCCCTCGGTGTTTACCAAGGTGAACATTTACGTCTGTCGGCGTCTTAGCTATCTTTGAATCATCCTTGTTGAATTTCTCAAGGATCTTGTCAATGTAGTGGGATTGGCTCAAGCTCAGACCATCCGCTCTTCTTAGTATTTTGATTCCAAGAATCACATCAGCCAGACCCAAATCTTTCATATCGAATCATGTGTTCAACATGTCCTTGGTGGACTTAACCATCCTATCGTTGCTTCCAACGATGAGTATGTCGTCTACATACAGACACAAAATAACATATCCTTCAGATGTGTCCTTGAAGTATACGCACTTATCCGACTCATTTATCTTAAAATCATTGTTCATCAATACCTCGTCAAACTTATCGTGCCATTGTTTTGGCGCTTGTTTAAGACCGTATAATGATTTTACAAGTTTGCAGACCTTCTTTTCTTGGCCCAGAACCTTAAACCCCTCGGGTTGTTCCATATAGATTTCTTCATCTAGTTTGCCATTTAGAAAAGCAGTCTTTACATCCATTTGGTAAACATCCAGTCTTTACAATGATCATTCTGATAGAATCTATCCTAGTCACAAGCGCGTAAGTATCAAAGTTGTCATAGCCCTCGCGTTGGCTATACCCCTTGATCACAAGTCTAGCTTTGTACTTGTCAATGGAGCCGTCAGGCTTCATTTTCCTCCGAAAGACCCATTTAGAACCTAATGGTTTACACCCCGGAGGGAGATCAACCAACTCCCACGTGTGATTCTGAAGAATAGAATCAACTTCACTTTTTATGGCTTCTCGCCACTAAGGTCCCTCAGTTGAGGTTACGGCCTCGTAATAGGTTCGTGGTTCCTTTTCTACTAAACATGTTAGAATATCGGGTTCATTTTCCATTAGAAATGACAAAGTTCCTTTGTCAAATTCTATCAAATATGTTATAAAGACAGAACCGAACGTCTTTTCAGTTCGTATTCTTTTACTTTGTCTCAGTTCAGTCTCATGTTCGACTTCATCATCGTCATCGGAATTCAACTGACTTGGATCATCATTATCCATCATCTCAGTATGAGAACGTTTGGACGAACTGGCTTCGTCACTTGACTTGCACGGAAAAATGTGCTCGAAAAACGTTGCATTCTGTGACTCAATGATTGTGTTCTTGTGAATTTTAGGATTATCTGATTTGTACACCAAGAACCGGTACGACGTACTATTGTACCCGATGAAGATTCCATCAACTATTTTTGGACCGATCTTCATCTTCTTTGGTGGTGGTGCAAGTACTTTCGCGAGACACCCCCACACTTTGAGATACTTGTAGGAAGGTTTCCTATTATGCCAAAGTTCATACGGAGTTTTGTCAAGTTTCTTACGAGGTATTTTATTTAGTAAATAACTACTTGATAAAACAGCCTCCCCCCACATGTTCTGTGGTAACCCAGAACTAAGTAACATCGCATTCATCATGTCTTTTAGAGTGCGATTTTTCCGCTCCGGTACACCGTTAGACTGTGGTGTATACGGTGGGGTTACTTGATGCACTATTCCATGCTGTGCACAAAACTCATTGAGTAGAGCATCATACTCACCACCTCTATCGCTTCTCAATGCTTTGATTTTGCGATTGAATTGATTTTCCACTTCATTCTTATATCGAATAAAAGTGTCTAACGCTTCATCTTTACTTTTTAGTAAATAGATATAGCAATATTTTGTGCTATCATCGACGAAGGTAATAAAGTACTTATTACCCCCTTTTGAAGGCGTTGTTCGAAAATCACACAAGTCGGTGTGAACCAACTCTAGAGGTTGAGTATTTCGTTCGATGCATTGGTTGTATGTCTTGTATGTACTCTTTGTATTGACTCTTGGATATTAATAATTTACATTTTATCCTTGAGTATTTCGTTCGATCGTTTTAAACGAACTTCGAGTTGACTTTGCCTCAACACAAGTTTCGCACTTGTGAGTTAAGTCAATACTAAACTTAGGAATGTGTTCCATGTTAATTAATTTTCGAATAGATGCATAATTAACATGTCCTAGTCTACTATGCCATAAACTAGAAGACTCACACACATAACCAACAGGATTTTTATTGATCTTTTCATGAACAGTCATCACATTAAGCTTGACAAGCCCATCAGAAATGTAACCCTTCCCAATAAAAATCCCTTTCTTGGATAAAATTAGCTTATCTGATTCAAACACCATCCGAAATCCGTGTTTGATCAACAATGACCCCGACACTAAATTCTTGCGAATGTCTGGCACAAAGAGCACGTCGTTAAGCGTTAGCTCCTTGCCGGAAGTCATTTTTAGCTTAATCTTTCCAACTCCTTGAACCTCTAATTGGGCCGAGTTGCCCATCCAGACTTTGTCATCGGAGGTCTCTTGAAATTCGTGAAACATGCTCCGGTTGGAGCAAATATGACGAGTGGCCCCTGTGTCCACAAACCATTCCCTCGGGTTTGACCCGACGAGATTCACCTTGGTGACGACTGCGCAGAGGTACAGGTTGTCGAGCTCTGCACACATAGCTTCGGTGGTTTTCTTCTTATTTTTCTGTGGCTTCTTTTTTCTACAGTCAGAGGAACGATGTCTGGTAATGCCACAATTGTAGCATTTCCCTGCAAATTTAGAAACACCACCCTTAGGACCCATTTTCTTCTTGTCCTTCCCGCCATGTGAAGAGCCCGACAGATGTTCTACAATATTTACCTTAGCCCCTCCACCTCTTCTGGCAAGCCCTTCCTCTCGGATCTTCAACCGCGTGAGCAGTTGCTCCAGATTCAGCTCCGTTCATTTGAGCTTGAGGTCGGCTTAGATGTCTTCCCACGACCGGGGAAGTTTGTGGATGGTGGCCACCACTTGGAAGGCCTCGCTGACGCCTACTTTTTCTTCATTGCATTTGTTGAAGATTACCATAAGCTCCTCAGCCTGGGCGACAACAGATTTGCTGTCGACCATCTTGTAGTCCAGCATCTTCCCGACGATGAACTTCTTCGTTCCGGCATCTTCAGCTTGATACTTCTTGTTCAAGCTATTCCAAAGCTCTTTTGCAAGCTTAGCACCGGCATAGACGGGGTACAATGTATCTCCCAGCCCTTCAAGAATAATATTGATGGCGAGATAGTTGTTGTGGTACCACGCTTGGTTGACCATCGCCACAAGGGGGTCGTTGGCTTCATTGGGCTGGGGGGATCTTGCTGCAGGTACTCAGCAAATCCTAGGACGGTAAAAAAGAACATCATCTTTTGTTGCCACATTTTGAAGTTCGTGCCATTGAACTTCGGTGGCCTTTGGACCGAGCTAGCAGGCACTGAGATAGCCCCAACTGCATTGGGCGTATAGAGGAAAGGCCCGTTGCTCGCCCAATGCGGTCCAACAAACGGATTGACCGGTGCGGGGAAACCCGCGTTCGGTCCAAAGTTGACCATTAAGGCCGAAGCCATGGTCGGTCCAACAAACGAGTTCGAATTGCCGACGGGGTAATTCCCCGTGGTTTCGAGCCCGGGAATGGGTCGAGGGCCCGACCCAAAAATTGAGCTCGGCATCAAGAATGATGTCATGGTGGAGGCCCCCAAACTTGACCCGAAGGGCAGCGGTGAGGAAGGCACACCCATGGCGACGGAGGAGGTTTCGACCGGAGCTTCGGAACTCATTCCGTTGTCGGAGGAACCCGCGATGCCGAATCCGAACTCCAAAATACTACCTTAAGATTGTTGAATATTACAGCGGGAAAAAAAATAATCCGAACTTATCAACCCTTCGTCTCCATGCATGCATTCCTTAATTTCGTACGATTCGTTATTAACGAAGTGTACACGTGCGTGTTTTTGTTTTGATCTCGTAAAAAGTTAGCCCCGCCACACCGTAGACGCGGGTGCGACGCGCCCCGCCCCGACTCAACCCGACGCGCGCGCGTGTCGTGTCGTGCCGAGCCGGACGGGCAGCGGCGGCGGCGCGCAAGGAGTCCTCTTCTTGTTTCTTTCATAAGCTCAATTCAATGCTTAAGCTTAAATATGAGAATACGAAAGGTTTAGAAACCAGTGTGGGACAAAGACATTTTACTCTACCTTAGTATTCAACTTTGAGAATTAATTTCTCATTCTCCCGAGCACCGTTTATGACGTGTCATATGTCAAGACGTTCGTCTTACTTACGAGATTAATCGTCCATAATTATTTTGGAAAATAATTTTGTGGACCCTACCGAATTTATGTCCAAAAAATGTCCAATTTACTTTATAATTTCCAACATTAGGGACGTAATGACAAGTTTCGATATCATTGTTCGATCATTCAGGATGACATAGACATAAATAAAAATGTTGTTCACCGTATTGGAGCGGCTTGGCGAAGTGAAAGTTGGCATCAGCTGTCCTATGCATATAAAGATTTCAGAGAAGATGAAAGATAAGTTCTATCAGTCGGTAGTTAGAATGTTTATACTTTATGGTGCGGAGCGTTAGGTAGTTAAGAAAATCCAAATCCATCAGCGAGCTGGATGTGGCATGCATATGCTATGGTGGATGCGTGGGCAAACGAGGTTGGATGAGATTCAAAATGAGGTTATTTGGGGGCGTGTATGAGTGGCACATGTGAAGAATAAACTACAGGAGGCTAGGTTGAGATTGTTTTGTCATGTGAGGCTGTGAGCAGGCATGAATTTGAGGCCCATGTGTGGAGATCAAAGGCTTACAATGGTAGATGAGTTTAGACAAAGGGGTAGACCTAGGAATAATTAGAGGGTTATGTTAGTTCTATGTTATTGGCTAATCTTTTGAAAAATAGAAACTCATAGTTATCATCATGAGTTTTACTAGCTAGAAACCTCTATTTGTTAAGAGATGTATATTTTATTTAGACTCCTAGAGTTGTTGCACTTTTTGAAGGTGACACAGAAGATACGCTACAGCACCCTATGACGGGATCAACAAGGCCCGTGTAGAAATCTGAGCTTGCAATTTGCGAAATTTGAATTAGAGACCTATTGGGATTGCGACTACACGCTGGGACCTGTTTATTATAAATCTAGCTGGTATTTAAGAAGCTTTAGGCTACTTGTGGATCATGATTAAAGAAGTTATTTTCAAGCCTATTCCTACTAGAATTGGGTTTGGAAAGAGGCCTATAAAAATGCAGCAGCTCCTTGTGATTTCTTGGAGCGATTGAGAGGGAAAAACGCAAAATATATAGATATGTAGAGTGTTCCCGTCATGTCCTAGAGCTTCCCTTGCATAAAGAAAGTAAAGATCTACATGAAGGAGATCTTCAATGTCAAACATATCATGACACCCAAGAGATGAACCATAGATGAACGTGTGGGCTACCAAACATACTTGTCCTACTGATCTCGGTGGTGATGTGATATCCAAAGCGGGTTCGAACAGGATTCGAGTTAGAAGTCATAGATTAAAAGTTTTGTCATAACAATTCAGAAAATGTGTTTCATCATGTTGTTATTTACCAGTGTAACTTGCATCTATGACAATGCTATAACATCCTCTGCATATTTGTTTGATTTATTTGATTTGTTTGCATAACTTTTATATGGTGATTTCTGCTACACTTTAGGTTATTTGAGGAGATAATTAGGCAATGCTTAGGACTTCTGCCTCTTACCAAGAATATGACATTAGATAGGAACGTTTGTAGATCTATGATTGGGGTTGCTAGATAGTCGTATAAGGATCGAGGTGGTTGTTTTGTTCTCGTACGTTGTTGTGTGCTTTGTAGGCTTGGAGTCTTGGGGCAGAGGCGGATCCAGGATTTCAAGGTCATGGGGTCCCTTACGGAGTTACGGGCTACGACCTTACCTGACTACGTTCCATTCTCATGTCAAATTAATTCATAAGTCTTAACATATAACAATAAATTAAAACTAATATTTTTGGAGAGTACCATAATTAATACATATAAATAAAGTCATACGAAAACAACATCGTTTACAATTGTACTCGTCTAGTTTTCATACTTTGGAAGTGATTTATAATTACATCATCACTAATGGTGGAAAAGACATCTCTCTCAACATAAGTTACTAAGCAGTCATTCAACCATTGATCACAAATTTTTTTCCGCAACTCATTTTTCACAAACTTCATTCCCGAAAAAGATCGTTCAACACTTGCTGTTGCCACAGGAAGTATCAATGCCAACTTTATGAGAGTATATACAAAACCGTACGTAAGAGACTTTTTAGTGGAAACCATTTTCACCGAGAGCTCAACAATACTCTTTAAATCATTGAATCTATTGTCAGAGCGAACATCCATGATATAATTCTCAAGCTGATTCTCCAAAGTCAAACGATCAACTCCTAAAAATTCATTCGGGTAGAATTCAGTCATTCTAAGTAAAGCTTTCTTGTCAAATGCTTCAAATGAGAAAGATGGATTCAAACAAGCTAGACAGCTCAGCAACTCCGTACTCGCCACATCAAATCGACTATCAAGCTCTTCAACAAACCTATCAATAATCTCAAACAAACAATCTATTTTATAATGATGTATGTTTGAAATAATAGGAGCCCTGCGTGCAGAAGTGTTCACTTTAACATATAAATCATTCATATCAGGCACCTTAAGAGAACATCTCTCACAAAACACTAAAACCTTTTGGAAAATAAGATTCCATCCATCGTCTGATCGCATGCTCTGTAAGCGTGATTTTGCAATCTCAACTAGTTTCAAAGCATTTAACAAATCTTGTTCACGTCTTTGCAATGCTATTGACAAATCCCAAGTGACACCCAAAACCTCAACCATTACATGAAGCATGAAAGAAAATTCNCTTCTCTCGGAGGATATCTTGTCGTTTATTAGATGAAGCAATTTCATTAATAACACGACCAACATGGAGAAGTAACCAATTAACTTCAACAAGTCCTTTCAAAGATGCAACAAGAGACAACTGAAGTTGATGAGCAAGACAATGAACATAGTAAGCATATGGATTTTCATTTTGAATTAAAGTTTTCAACCCACCAAGCCTTCCACGCATATTACTTGCTCCATCATAGCCCTGTCCCCTTATATTTGATATACATAATCCATATTGGGATAATGTACTCTCAAGTGCTTTTTTGAGAGACAATGCAGTAGTTTCTTCGACATGAACAATGCCTAAAAAGTGTTCTACAACAGAACCCGTGTCATCAACAAAACGCAAAACAATAGCCATTTGCTCTTTACCAGCAATATCACCAGATTCATCAACTAATATAGCAAAAAGGCCATCTCCAAGTTTTCTAACAATTTCTTGAACGGTTTCAAATGCACATGCATAACACAAATCTTTTTGAATTGTCGGTGAAATCATCTGATTATTTAGTGGAGCATTTTTTATTGATTTATCCAATTCAGAGTCACGCATCCGCAATAGTTGTAGAGTTTCAAGAAAATGACCTTTATATGAAGACTCAATTGATTCATCATGCCCCCGGAATGAAAGTCCCCCACTAAGAAGAAATCTAGTGACTTGAAGCGATGCCTTCAACCGAAAAATATAATCATTTTTCACTTGTTGAGATTGCTTAACTAGAGCGGATGTAATACTTTGATCCTGATTCATCAAGTCTTCACATTTTTTCACACAATTGTAATGAGGACTATTAGGTCCCCCAACATGAACATCCAAACTTTTTTTCTTATTCCAAGTACTAAATCCTTCCCCAACAAAATGATCACGACCCAATTCCCATTCATTTTTGAACAAGTAACAAGGAAGACAAAATACAGCATCCTTCGCAATGCTATACTCCAACCAATCATTGTTGACATACCAAGAAGTAAGAAATTTACGCTTCTTAGGTCCAATCATCTTATACGGGAAATCATGACTTTTGGGTTGAAAGGGTCCTTTTTGAAGATAACTACGACGTACCTCATCTTGGACGTTTGGATGAAAGTCAGAAATTTTCTTTCTTAATCCAGGGTCAGCTTCCAAAGACTCAAAATCAAAGTTGCTCTCATTAGAAGTGCATTGAGTGCTTTCCCGAACATGTGTAGGTTGAGTCACTTGAGTGCCTTCTTGAACATGAGTAGATTGAGTATTTTCTTGAGTATTTAGTTGAGGCACCGGAGCGATAACATTGTTACCAATTCCACTCGACTCCGAATCTTTAAATTTGGATACTTTTTTGAAGTACCTTTGCATTTTGAATTCTATAAATTAAACATAAAATGAACATTAATACAATAATTAATAATATTTATCACTTTTCACTTGCAATCCTAATTCCTAAATCAATTTTTAAATTTAGTAAAATAAAGAAAAGTTTTTACCTTACCGCGGGAGTGACGGAGACCGGAGACGGGGAAGAAGATGAAGCAGGGTGCCTGGAAAGGCTGGAAGCCTGGGTGCGGCGGTCGCCCGTCGCCGGCGGCCTGGCGGGTTGAGGCTGGACGGCGGTCTCCGGTCGCGGTCTCGCATCGGTTGGGCAGTGGGCAGCAGAACGGCAGATTAGAAGTTTAGGGTTCCAAATTCCAAAATCAAAA